ACAGACCAAAAAGCATAAGATCGTGAATAAAATACGCTGAGAAATCACCAAACGCGCGTTATTCAAAAACGACAAAAACGAATAATACCCTAGAATCGTGATCAAAGGATTTAGCAAAATAAAATAATTTGACTTTCAAGGAACCGCTTAACTCATAAAATGATGAGGAAAAATGCTTTTATTATAAATAAAGGTAATTAAAACTCAAGAATTTAACACTTCAAAACAAAAATTCTACATAATCTTCTACAGTGACCATCCTTGAGAAAAAGTCTTCATGAATACTTAAAAGTCTGTCCTCCTCCTMCATAGACAATCGTACACCTGTAAAGTCGACTTTTACAGAACAAAAATTGTACTTGAAAACTTGAATTAAAGTCTCACAGCATTCTTCGTCGTCTAAACAATAAGCGATGTTTAATAGTTCCAGATGTTCATGTCTTTTGAAAGCAGAGTGAYAGAAAGCATAGTGTGTAATAGTGGAGCAATCTGGCATGATAAGGATTTTCAGTTTTGGGTAAGTATATGGTAGCATTAGAAAAAATAAGTCATCAATTTTACAATGGCTTATGTTTAGAAATACCAGATTTTGCATCATTAAGCCTGTAAAATCCATTCTGTCTCTTACAAATTTAGTTAACCAAGCACAGCTTAAATATTCAAGTGACTTGGTTCTCCTAATGCATTCATGTACAATGTTCCAGTTCAGAAAGTGGCATTCATCGATGAGCACTGTTTTTGTTGTTTTGAAAACCATCTCACAAAATATTTTCTTTGTTACTTGGCGTTGGTAGCCTAAATCAAGATGAGTCCATAAGAATCGGTCTTTAGACAGATTATACCATCGACGACAAACCATGCGAGTTTTTGAAACTTTCTCAAAAGTTGATAAGAACTGAAATATGTAGCATAGGATTTCATCTGGCAAGTTGTTAAATTGCACTGGTGAACATTTTTACCCTTTACAAAATAAATCTAGCTCATAATCCCAATGAACTCCAAGCATAAAACAAGATAACTCTTGCAACTCATACACGTTAATGTTGAGTTGAGAAAATTCACCAAAGGCACGATATCGCGAATAAGAAACGCTGAAAACTCACCAAAAGCACATTGTCAAAGATGGAATAGTTTACTTGAAATTTACCGAAAGTTTAAATTGTAAAAATAAAAAAACAATTTCTGAACTAAAAGAGCAATTTCAAAAATAAAATAAGTTCATAAAACTAACCAAAGGTGCGTTAAAAAATATTATTAATGATGAAACTGACTCAAAGGTTTGTTTTGAAATTTAAGTTAGCTTCATCACCACAATAAAACACAATATCGAGAACAAAATTAACCAAAAACTCACCAAAGGCACGTTAACGGGGTATTTATACATAATATTATGGGTTCGACAGCTTCAAGATCACTCTCTTAACCACTGTCATTACACA